AGGTTACAAGTCAGTAGAAAATATTTAGAATGGGAATCTCTTATAATGTCAACTGCAAGTACACAGCATATTGAAATTACATGCAGAGTGTTCTTTACTGCATATAAACTGACAAAAGAAAATTAGCCTTTGGGCAATTTTGAATCAAAATTGATCTGCAGCAGTTAAACTGACTATTTATGTGACGAATTCTGCATTCAAACATCTTCTGCTCAAGCACACAGCACATTTCTGCTCCTTTCACTGACAGCTGGAACTGATGAAAGATTGCCCCTTCATTGTATGGCTGCTTGATGCAATCCAGTGTGTTTCCAGAATATACCCAGTCTTTAAGATTTCAACATTATTGAAGTGCCCTTGCACTTCCAGAGGATACAGAGAGTACAGTCTATTTATGAAAACCTTAAGGTAGTTGACCTCACGAATTTCCTATACGATGTAATGAATAGAATGTTTCAGTTGATGTGCCAGACAATCATCTTTGTTATTTTCAGATATATCAGAGTAGACACTCTGCTCTTCTGATTTGGCATGACTGTGGCTCCATTTACAAGCAAGAGCCACTACATGCTTCTTTGGGCAATCCTCTGTGAATCCCAGTACATCCAGCCTTTGCAGCAAGATTTTGGTAAAGGTGGAGGCATAAGTGACTAGAAATTATATTAGATCAAGTAAAATGTTCATGGGCTCTTCCATTTCCTTTCTCTTAAATCGTAAGCAGACAATAAGAGTGCTAGCCTGGCACAAGGTAGTTAACTCGTCAGTCATTAGTGCATTTGTGCACTTGGAAGATACGATATTCTTAAAATGTTCTTTCTTCATTTCATTTCTCAAAAAAGAAGCATATTCAATGGTCTCCAGAAACGCCTGACATCTACATCTTTTTTTTCTTTTTTTTTTGCTCAAACTGGACCTACTTTGTGATGCTCTACAAGAGTTAGCAGAACTACCACACGAGCTGTGGAAAACGTTATCCGCAATATCTAATACCAAGTTCTGTGCCAGATTCGTGTTTTCGAGCAGAGAATGAAAGAACCTACTAAGAAAGAGCGGTTTGCATGTGAAGCCATAGCTGCAATGGAATTCCAGGACATCACTCTGCATACAAATGATAAGGGCACCACAGAAATCAACCACACTCAATTCTACTGGAGTTTGACAAACCAGCTACAGTGTAAGCTCATAGACGAGATGGATGAACAACTTGCTACTGATGTAAAATTTCCCACATCTCAGTAATTGGCTGCAAGATACTGATACACTCCATTGAAAATGTGAAATCCAGGCATTCTGCTTCAGGATGCAACTGAAAAAGTAGTCACAAGAAGGTAATGGCTGCTTTTATCACTAAAAACCGATTTGTGATACCCGTGATGGACAGAGCACAGCACAGATAGTTCATTTGTAGTTTCGTAATTAACAACAAATAAACCACCTTATGTGAAATATCTGGTGAAATGCACCAGTGCCATCCTAATAGCATCAGTAAAGTACGAATGCAGATTCTTGCATGTGAAGTGAAAATTGTCATGACCCCTTTGAAATCAACTCTGAAAGGGTAGAGAATATTAGCTACTTTTCATTGGCTTAGTTGGACCTCCTCCCAAGAAGTTCAATCGAGAGTCATTATGTGAGATCGTGGATTTTGAATCCTAGACATATTGCAACAGATCACAGAAGCAAGGTAAGGGAAGAAAAAAGTGTGCTAACAACGTGAAACGTGTGAAGCCTCCTCCGGTGACTGTTTTCTATTCGATAAACACCAAAACTGGTTGATCACCACGAAACTTTTTTTTTGTTTTTGTTTTTTTGCTTATAATAAAAGTTAACAGAAATATTAGCTATTTTGGGCATAATTAATAATTCATTACAGAATTTCTTAGTAGGCTACTACAACATACTGTATCAAAGAAAATCTAGTCTTTAAGAGTTGTGGTATGCACACTTTGCCCCCTCCCATGTACAATAGTCATCACCGAAATAACTGTTCTTTCGTCACTTATTACTGGTATTTGTACTGATGCAAGCATTTTTTGGGCTTGCCAGAGTTTTTGTATATTTTGATGATTTTCATTATTATAGATTGTGTATCGTACAAAGGTTGAGATTATCATACAAATACTATAGTTATCGTACATCTACAGAGGCAGCCACAGTACAGGGGTTACAAGCAAAGCCTAGGTCGTGGTGACTCGTAAATGACACTCATGGAATGATGTAAAGATGAATAGTCAAACTACAAAAAAATGTGTGGCTTGTTTTATATGTCTTCTTCAAATTCACCCCTCAATAAAAAAAAATATTTGTTAATTAATTATATTTGTTTTACATAACTGCCTCTATTTCTCCTTCACTTCTTCTAACATAATATTTCATTTATAATATCCTAGAGCCTCTGGTTTTGTAGTGATGATTTACCTGCGTGTTAAATATTCCTTAACGCTGTAATGACAGTAATAATAGATCATGAATTTCACCCTTTTATAACAATTGTAGAATCGTTGTTCTTTTGTTGGCTGATTCTTTTAAAATATCTGGTGAAAATAATTCAACGTTCAGTACACATGGTGAGAACAAATTACTATGTTTCCTCCTTTAAGGTTTCTATAAGCTTCAAAATTTGTAAAATGTCGTAGCATTTTGAAGACCAACGCCACAAAGGACCTTCAAACCTCTCTAAGAATCTAGGACTAACGTAAAATCAAACAAAATTCTTGTACAAAGTAACCGCGATAGCTGACAAACTGACTAATTCACTCAACTATCTACAACTAACTTCTTATAACTTTACACTCTCTTAACTATATCCTTGACTATCTTTCACTCTACACACTTCACACCTATCTGTATTTATAATTTTGCTTCGAATGTACGAGATAACTTTACGTCAGCTTAGAAATTTTAGGCACTGTAGATTCCTAATATCCTTCATTTTCATATATTAACGTTCAAATAGATAGATAATCATATACTTACTGAGGATGTAATAATATGAAATTAACTTGCTCCTTGTCTCATAAAACACTGTTAGGCGTTAGCCATTGATTTTTATACTATGAAATCATTGAAATGTCGTATTGTTGCGTAAGCGAAGTCACATGACTAGTGTGACGCCACGTTTCTAGAACTATCCTGTACCTTGGCGAATGCTCTAGCGTTTACTAGATATAGGGTAGGCTGGTATATAAAAGAAGGTGACAACGTGACGGGAATGTAATGTGTGTGTAGATAATGAGTAATTGAACTGCAGTCAGAAGTATTGTTGACGTTCGTTGATATAGCGTTTGTTTTAGCGCGATTGTTGAAAATAAGTGTATCGTAAAGTTGTATTCGGAAAGAATAAACCAGTTTTATTAAGTAAGGACTTGTGTCGCTAAAGTTTCGTCGGAACGAAGTTACGGAAAATCAAATAACAAACGGAGACGTAACAGTATATTAGTGTTTATTACATAGTAATAGTAATATAACTGACAAAAAATATGAAATTAGTTAGCTTTTAAGTTGTTTTAAAAAGTTATCCTCTAATAAATAGTATGAGGATGATATGATTTTTGTTTCTACTGCAGCTTGCCAAAAAATCTTAGGTTGTCTAAGAAAACATCCTCAAATAATTACAGTAAATTAGATGATATGTATTTTTCGTGAATGTCATTCTTTTTGATTGTATGTTTCCAAAATGCACCCCTGATTTGTTTTAAAGAAAATAATATCTACTGAAAAGTATGACAATAAGATGGTTTGCGTTTTTTATGAAAAGAAGTTTTTAATTTTTCAAATCCAACCAATTTTTTATTCCTCAGTTAGGTGCCTCGCTTTGGACTGCAGAAAGTCTGGTCACTTTAGAGATAACCAATTTTCTTTTTTGGGCAGGGTAATTACGTTAGGTATTTCCACAGTTTTTTTTCTCTTGATTTAGCCATTGATTTTTTAAGACTTTCCTTTTTTGACCCCAGTGGGAAGACGACACAGACGAAGAGTTCGGCCAATTATGGTAATGTTTGTAAATAAAGAATTTAGTGTTTGAAACTACACTGGTGTTTACTTGTTTTACTCTAGTAGTTGCGTATGTTTCTCACACCTCCGGGAGTAGGACTGGCTTCCAAGTCCGGACACCGGGTGAGGATGTTTTGGTGTGATTCGAACCCGCGACCTGTGAGTCGAGCGCCCTAACCACCTGGCCGTTCCGGGCCGTTTGTTTTACTCTACTATCCATATACAGGCCCTGAATAGCCAGGTGGTTAGGGCGGTCGACTCGTAATCTGAGTGTCGCGAGTTCGAATCCCCGTCACACCAAACATGCTCACCTCCGCCATTGCCTGGTCCCAAGTCCAGGATGAGAAAGGAGGAGGGCTGGGCGCGGGGCTAGCAACTCCACCCCGTAAAAACCAGCCTGCTACAAGTAACTGCAACAACACCTATCCGTTGGCGAGGTGTTGCTGCGGCCCAATACTCCACCGGGAGTTTACAGGAAAAAAAATCCATATACAATTTATTTTTCGCAAGTTCTGAACCTGCGTCTTACAGAAGCTTTTGGCTTTTCTACTGGACGTTACTGGACCCGAATGCTGCAAAAGGCGTTTCGGGCATAGACAAATT